TTGGGAGGAGGAAAGGGGATGGATTAGTTATATTGTTTTTTCCTAAATTTTTGTCCTAGATATTGTAATATACAGCCTTAACTCATCACAGTCTACTTAAAATTATTCTTGCATCACTTCATATAACATATAAGATACTTGGAATAATTTACTCCACCCCCTTCCTTTGTGCTGTTACTGTAATATATTTCACATCCAGATGTTATAACTCCTAGAATTAAATATTATAAATTTTGCATCAAACAGTTGCTTTTTAAAGAAATGGAGAAAAGAAAAAAACAGACATTCTTATGTTTCCCACACATTTACTATTTCCAGTGCTCTTTATTCTTCTTGTAGATCTAAATTTCCATCTGGTATTATTTCCTTTCAGCCTGAAGAATTTCCTTTCGCATTTCCTATAGTGCAGACTTGGTCACAATGGAGTTCTCAGCTTTCATTTATTCAAAAGATATTTTCATTTTTGAAGGTAATTTTCTCTAGAATGTTAGGTTGAGACCTTTGTTCCATCAGCATTTTAAAGACGTCTTTCCACTGTCCTTGGTTTTAGTTGCTTTTTATGAGGAGTTGGCTGTCAACTGTACTGTTGTTCCCCTGTAAATATCTTCTCTTCTGTTTCTCTGCTTGCAAGAGTTTATCTCTGGTTTGACTACTGTATGTCTAAGTGTGGTTTCCTTTGCATTTATCATTCTTGCAGTTCACTGAGCTTCTCAGATCTATAATATACTATTTCACCAAATTTGGGAAATTTAAGGCCAATATTTCTTCAAATATATATATTTTTTGTCCAATTCTTTCTCTACTGTCCTTCCAGGACACCAACCATGCATATGTTAGACTACCTGATATTGTACTAAAGGTCACTGAGGTTTTGTTCATTTCCTTCCAGTCTTTTCTGTGTTCTAGATTGGTTCATTTTTACTGATCTATCTTCAAGTTCAGTGAACCAATCTGTTGTTAAGCCCATTAGATTTTTCATTTCAGGTACCGTGCTTTTCAATTCTACAATTTCCATTTGATTCCTTTCTAGAGTTTCTTTTTCTTTTTTGGCTGAGATTCCCTATTTCTTTATTCATGATGATTACTTTACCACTAAGTCCTTGAAATATTTATAATAGAGGGACTAAAGTTCATGTCTGCTAATTCCAACATGTAGATCATCTAGGGCCTACTTCTACTGATTGCTTTTTCTCCAGATTATGCATTACAATTCTGTATTTCTTCTTGAGTCAATGTTCCATTACACACTGGGCATTATAAATAAAACACTGTAGAAACTATGGATTCAGTTACCTTCCCCTGAAGTTACATCATTAGTTGATTATCATGAGGATTGGTTTTATACTATACCTATACCTAAACAAAAACTATAGTGATTTGTTTATACTCTATTCTTAATCCTAGAACACAGTCTTTACTCCTGAGCCATCAACCTTTTGAGATTCTGATGAAAATTTTGAAGTATTTGCTAAGCCGTGTAAGTAAAATTCCAAATTCTGTCTCCTTTGAGGGGGACAGAAACTGATGTCTCTGCTCATCTTTTTAAAGTTTTCAGTTAATACTTTTCACTAGCCCCTTTGGAGGTCCCTCTTACATGACATTTAAGAGTCAGCTAAAGATTTCAGAGGAGTTCACATGCAGACTGAAGGACTACTCTTTATACCTCAATGTCTAGCCTCTCTGGTAGCCCTAAACTCCATCCTTTGACATCTCAAGCCAATAAAGCTGTAAGTTTCTGCTTGCATTTTAGTGACAACTTATGCTGACTAGACTGGGAATGCTTTCAAGAGGAAAAGCTGTATAAAAATAAATCTAACCATAAAAATTCGGAAACACGCCAGGTGCAGTGGCTCATGCCTGTAATTCCAGCATGTGGAGGCTGAGGCGGGGGATCACCTGAGGTTGGGAGTTCGAGACCACCTTGACCAACATAGAGAAACCCTGTCTCTACTAAAAATACAAAATTAGCTGGGCGGCATAGTGGCACATGCCTGTAATCCCAGCTACTCAGGAGGCTGAGGCAGGAGAATTGCTTGAACCAGGGAGGCGGAGGTTGTGTTGAGCAGAGATTGCACCATTGTACTCCAGCCTGGGCAATAAGAGCAAAACTCTGTCTCTAAAAAAGACAAATAAAAATAAATAAATCTTAGCCAGCATGTCTCCTTTCTTTCAAGGGTCAAATTCTTTAGAAAACCGTTTTACATATTCTACCCAAAGTTTATAATTGCCATCTATGAGTTAGTCTAATACAAGCTTCTCTACCATTACCAGGAGTCTCTTTTTTTTTTTTTTTTTAAGAGTTCAGTTTTATACTGACCCCATTATTTTCTATTCACCTTCTTTGCTGCTGCTGCTGCTTCTTTTCTTTTTTTTTTTTAAGTTCTGTATCTATTTTAAAAGGGCAACTCAAGCCCAAATCCTTGGAATTATCCTTAACTTGCCTTTTTCTCTCACTTCCGGTGTCTAATCCTCTGAGTACTATCTTTAAAATAGATCCAGAATGTGATCCACTTTTATCATTTCTACTGCTACCAACAGACCAAGCCATTCTCTTCTCTCCTCTAGAATATTTTAATAATCTCTTAATTGTTCTCCTTGCCCCCATCCTTCATTCTCCATATAACACTCCATAGACCTAAGTTATCCTATTAAGACATAAGTTAAACAATGTCATTCCTCTGCTTAAACCTCTCTGATGTCTTTCCATTTTACTCAAAGTAAAAGCCCACAAGGTCCTATAATATCTAGCACTTCCATGATCTTTTTGATTTTAGTTCTTATGATGTACCTTCTTCATTTTTTTCCAGCCACAAGAGCTTTCTCATATCTCTTTAACACTCCTGGCATGCTTCTATTTCAAGGCCTTTGTTCTGGGTGCTGCTAGCTATTTCTGTGACACTTTTATCCTAAATATCCACATGGTTCACTCCCTGCACCTTTAGGTTTAGGTCTTGGCTCAAATGTCACTTTCTCAGTGAAGCCTTCCCTGGCTAGACTTTTTAATATTTTAACTCACCTCACTGAACCCATCATTTTCTGTTCCTTGCTTCGTTTTTGTTAATCTCATTTATAATAATCCAACATATAATTTTCTTTTTTATTGTTTATTGTCTCTTAGCAAAGATCTATAAGGGCAGGGATATTGGTACGTTTTGCTACTTTTCTTTCCAGAGCCTTGAACAGTGTCTGGTACATAGTAGGCACTCAATAAAATACCTGTTAAATAAATGCCTGATTGAATCAATGATGTATTTTGTTCTTTAGCTATTCGGAAAAAAAAGCTGCAGAGCACTCTATGTGAAAATACAGGTAGGCGAAAACCATGTCAACCTCAGTATACTGAGGATTTATGTTTAAAACATCATGGACATTTCTTTTACAATGCATATTGGCTATGTGAGCTAGGGTCGGGCTGGTTATATAAGCTAGGGCACTTAATGTCACATGAAAATTGTGTGTATGTATATGTGTTTAATAGATATCCCCAAAGTAGGCAATATCTAATCAAATTCTATAGAATAGAATTTCAAAGATGAATTAGTATGCCTGGCAGAAATTTTAGAAAGATAAGTGGTTCTTAATGTAATTCATATGACGGCATATATGGAAGACACGGTGTTCTTTGAAGAATACTTACTAAATGCCTTTATGCCACTAGTAATAATATGGTCCTTACCACTGAGGATCTTAAAGACTAGGGGGGACAAAAGTAATGACCACACAGTATGCCAGGTGGCTAAAGATACACAGTAAAGGAATAGCTACATTCAAGTGGCCGGAGGCCTACAATGGCTTCCATAAAGAGCTGACACTTGATCTAAGATTTAAAGGACAACAGATTACACAGGTAAAGAAAAGAAAGGAATTTTTAGGTAGCTATTTTTAGGTACACATGCAAAAGCATGAATGTAAAAGGAGCATGTAAAAGATGTAAAGGAACCGCGTAAAGTAGTCTGGTGAAACTACATATGGACACTGCAAAAGATGAGGCTGAATGAGACATAATGAGGCTGGAACATCAATAACTAGTTTGATCTCCGCATATAACTAAGAGAACTTTTACTTGTAGAAGATGACTAAGTTATAGTATAGCAATATAAAATTGTAATAATAAGTACACAAGTCCATAAAAATCTCTCAAGGTAATCATGACTGATGGCTGAGTGTCTGATAATATTCATTTGCTACATATTAATTTAACTCTACTGATTAGTTGCTTACTATTGCCTGTTAGCACATACCTAAGTGGGCCACAAAAATTTAACAACTTATTGAAGAAACAGCCTTAAAACAGAGAAAATGCTACTAACTCATTTTCCAGTAAATTGGGAATGGACCATTTTATTCGATACTAAATAGCAGAAGTACTTGATTCACAATACTACTGTATAATAGGAAGACAGAGTGAAAGACTCAATGATTTAGGTTTATGTTACAGAACATCTGGGAGGTAATCTTTCTCACACCAAAGTCACATAGTAAGTGTAGCAAAAGACTACTTAACTAGCAGTCTTGGCTATCTAGAAAACAGCAGGAAAATTGGAAGTAAGCAAAACATTTGCTCAAGAACCAAACAGAGAATGCAAAGCCCAGGTATTTTATTCACAGGAGAAAGTCCTGACATTTTCATTCAAAGTCCTTTAATCTTAGGCATAATTTAAATAAACACAGTACCTGCATCCTCACTCATAGTACATTGCTGTAAAAAATAGAGGTGGGTGATGGATGGGAGTAAGATGTTATATTATGGTTCACAGACATCACAAGAAATTTAAGGTCACAGCCTTACCACAAAGGATAGAGAAAAACTGTATAAAGCAAACATAGGACACAGAAAGCACAGCAGTCCAAGGCATTTAGCTGGGGAGTAAATGCATTTAGCTGGAATAAACAGCTGCACACACCCTTAAGCAGCCCTGAAAATATCACTAAATCAGAATCCATATAACAATTAATATTATCAACAGTAGCCCCAAGTCATCTAGAAAATGTTCACTTACGTTCAATGAACTCTTTTTTAGAAGGCAGGGAAGCATGTAATATATTTTGGAAAAATCCATCAAAATAGTTAAAACAAAAAGCATTGAAGCTTAAAACTGTAGGCTTTGGTAAGTAAGCTTGAAACTTCATATCTCATTCCTCCAACATCATGCCAACATTTTAAATTTCTTAAGGCTTAAAAACAACATAGCTTCTAATGTGTCTATTTTATACCTCTAGTATCCTAATCATTCTAAGGAATTCTGTCCTCTTAAAATCAGTGGACAGAACAGAGGAACAGAGGTTCTTTTGTTTTTTGAGGTGGAGTCTCACTCTGTCACCTAGGCTGGAGTGCAGTGGTGTGATCTTGGCTTACTGCAGCCTCTGCCTCCCGGGTTCAAGCAATTCTCCTGCCTCAGCCTCCTGAGTAGCTGGGACTACAGGCACATGCTGGCATGCCCAGCTAATTTTTGTATTTTTAGTAGAGACGGGGTTTCACCAGGTTGACCAGGGTGGCCTTGACCTCCTGACCTTGTGGATCAGCCCACCTTGGCCTCCCAAAATGCTGGGATTACAGGCATGAGCCTCTGCGCCTGGCTAGAACAGAGGTTCTTAACTGGAGAGTCAAAGATGAACTTTGTGTTTATAAACTCCCTGAAGTCATATGCAAAATTTTGTGTCTATATTTGCATGTATAGTTTTCTAGAGAAAGGGGTCCATTGCTATCTAATTCTTAAAGAAGATTATAAACCAAAAAATACTTCAGAATATTGGTTTAGACAGAAAATGCTTTAAATGAGGAAAAAAGAACTCATTTATTCAGAGAATGACTAATTTACCTTATATTTTATTTAAATGTACTATTAATGTAAACATAATTAGCACCAGTGCTATGTATAAGTGAGAACATTTATATAGTATTCAGTAAGTTATACTTTCTAAAACATTTAAAATATGCTTAGCTTAAAAAATACTATCTGGAAGGGCGTGTATGTAGTCTATTGACTTTTGCTTATTTGAATGTGTAAATGTTATAACAAATTATCTGGGTAATATACCTAAAGGTATAATGCATTTGGTTTCCTATATCTTTCTAATACATTGGGACATATGCAGTCATTCTGACTAAGATATTCCTAAGGAAGAATTAAGAAATAAAACTTTTTTCTTATTGCTCTACTATTCAAGAAGCTCCATTCAAGCACTCTACTTAACTGTGTTTACATTCTCTTTAAAGCACCCTATGGCTGATGTATTATTCCAGAATTTACAGCAGAAGCTCTCTTAACAGATCCTTTCCTAACAGATTTGATGGATTAACAGACTCTCCATTTCCTCTGTAAAACATACTGAATGTTGTTCACGGGATGCTAAATGCTTGTGGTGCTTAGCTGCTCAATTAAGCCTGCACCCTTCTTCTTCCACTGATTAGGCTGTTTTGCTTACCAAGTCCTTTGGGATTGTTGCTGACCCTACTTATGCTTGTTTTCTATGTTGTACTTATAATTTACTTTATGTAAAGAGACAAAATAAGTGCCTACTACCAAGAGGTTTATTACTTATTTGAAAATCAGGTAAATGCTTTGAACAGCCTCTAAAAATGAGATGCATACCCCCACAAATGAAACTAATTTATGTGGGGGTAAGACAGCTGTAAAAGACTAGGGTAACAATCCTGAAAATCTAAGAGGACTTTGTACGTGGATTACTTTTCAAGTATCTAAGTTCTAGATTTACTTTGGAGAAACCAACCTGAAAACTGATGCATTATGGGTATATTTACATAAGACAGGAAATCTGATTTATAGGTCCATAGTCAAAGAAATAATCTTGGTTCTCCTCCAAAATACTGGTAAACAAATACATAAATATTTAAGATCTGTATGCATCTTTTTGCTTATTTTTAAATGATTCTTGCTTTAACCTTTTGGTTTGGTTAAGTGAACATCTCTGAATTTTGATCACTTTGAACAGAAGGGATTCTATTTTATGTGATCTGTGTTATAGATACTAAATTCTTCTTAATATCAGAAACTAATGGCTTTCTATGGATAATTCATATTTTTCTTTTTCTTTCTGAGATGGAGTCTTGCTCTGTCGCCCAGGCTAGAGTGCAGTGGCACAATCTCGGCTTACTGCAACCTCTGCCTCCTGGGTTGAAGTGATTCTCCTGCCTCAGCCTCCAGAGTAGCTTGGACTACAGGCATGCACCACTGTGGCGCATGTTCACTCCTGTTGCCCAGGGTGGAGTGCAATGGCATGATTTTGGCTCACCACAACCTCTGCCTACTGGGTTCAAGCGATTCTCCTGCCTCAGCCTCCCAAGTAGCTGGGATTATAGGCATGCACCACCATGCCTGGCTAATTTTGTATTTTTAGTAGAGACAGGTGTTCTCCATGTTTGTCAGGCTGGTCTCGAACTTCCAGCCTCAGATGATCTGCCTGCCTCAGCCTCCCAAAGTGCTAGAATTACAGGTGTGAGCCACCGTGCCTAAATTTTTTTTTTGGACTTTTAGTAGAGACAGGGTTTCACCATGTTGGCCAGGTTGGTCTCAAACTCCTGACCTCAAATGATCGGCCTGCCTTGTTTTTCCAAAGTGCTGGGATTACAGGCGCGAGCCACCACACCTGGCCTTCTGTGGAAAATTACCCCAAAGGAATAAATGTAAAAGTAGTTTATTTTAAGCACTGTGTCAGTCTACTGAGGGATAAGCTTTCCCTCTCTGGAGCTCTCAAATCACACTGCAGGAAGATGGCTTCCTTGACACAAATAGTACACTTGTAAAGGCAACAGAGTCTTCTCAGGAGGCAAATTATTAAAGTCTTCCACCTTGGGGTTAGCCTGGCTAAGACCCTAGGATGAATTTGACAACTGTATATGGATCACAATCTATGGTGTAACTGTGGGAATTTTCGGCTGATATTTTCCAGCAAACCAGAGAAAAATTCTCATTTATTAGCTATTGAAACTTGCTAATTTTGCCTCTCAGAGTTAAATAAACTTCCATGTTCTAAAAGGTTTGGCTGTTGCTCTTTGATAAATAACAGTACAGATAACTATGGATTTTTAGAATACAAAGCACACTGAAGGAACACCATTTTCAGAAACTCAAGAAATTTAATGTGAGAAAAACACAATATACGTGGGGTTACTGTCAAATACGTGTTTCATTCTTAGTATGTATGTAGCAGTGTAAGAAACCATAAATTACAGTAATATTACCGAAAGGATTCACTAGAGTCTCATTAAGCAACAAAGAAACCTTCACCAAGAACCAGGAAAAACCCCACAATAAAGCATAAACACAACTACCTGGCTGTTTGTGGTAGGTGAGCTCTCTGCTTGTTAAGCAGAACCATCGTTTCTTAAAATTCTTTTTTCCAATTCGAGTTCTTCCCTGAGCTCTTTTATACATCTCACTGCCAAAATAACAGATGTAAACGTTTAGCTATAAAAATTAAAAGAAGTATCCTTTTAATTTTAAAACAAAGAAGTATCCTTTAATTTTAAATGACATGAACAGTTGTGTAAAATTATATTAAAAATGTAAAAATATTTTTGCCATCCACGACTGTTGCATTTATTTTGGCCATACTAAAGGAATAAAGTCTTTAATTAATTTAATATTTTTCTTTTTTTTGTTGTTTTAATTTAATATTTTTAACCGTGCTATACAGAATAAAAAAGGGCCAAATGAGTGATCCCTGTCCCCTCATTAACTTCTAATAATAAACACTTTACATTAAGACTGAATAGTGCTATTACTTTTTTAAAGTACTGTAAATATCTATAATCTCACTATAATTGCAAAACAACTCTAGGACTGTATACACAGGAAATCATACTTCTCTGCCATCAAGTTTGTAGGATAGCGAGGGTGACTTACCTGACTGATAATTTTGGCAGTTCTAAGACAGAACACAAACCCAGATCTCCTTACTCTTAGACCCACGTTCTTTGTACTTACTTAATATATATACTGATAAGTGATTTTCATTCTAATTTCATTAAATTACCCTTCTTTCAGGTGCACAGGCTCGCTCGTACCACTGGACTCTTTAGTTTCAGTAGATGAAATTTCATCCAAGAACTAAATGGGGAAATGGGCAAATATTACACTGTGTGATAATATACATTACAAAACATTCAGTTTATCTTACATGTCATTGATTATAATGGGAAATTCTTCATTAAGGAATACACATAACAGTAATTTATAAAACAAAACACATATTTAATTACAAAGGAAATCCCTAATTTACAAATGACAAGTACTATAAAAGTTTTAATTAATTAACTAATTAATTATTTTGGGGACAGAGTCTCATTCTGTTGCCCAGGCTGGAGGTGCAGTGGCACAATCTTGGCTCACTGCAACCTCTCCCTTCCAGGTTCAAGTGATTCTCATGCCTCAGCTTCCCAAGTAGCTGGGAATACAGGTGTGTGTCACCACGTCCACCTAATTTTTTGTATTTTTAGTAGAGACAGGATTACACCATGTTGGCCAGGCTAGTCTTGAAATCCTGGTCTCAAATGATCCACCTGCCTCAGCTTCCCAAAGTGCTGGGATTTCAGGTGTGAGCCACTGTGCCCGGCCTAAAACTTTGTTCTTAAGTTACTTAAAACCAAGAACATATTTTCTTGTAGAAATAATTCAATCCACAATTCCTTAACTGAAATACTGAAATATATAAAGCTCTAATACAAAGTCTTTAATCCTGTCTTTGATTTTAAGTTCTCATTTAGGGGTATAACTTAACCTGAACTGGCGTAAGGCTATATATAGTCTGTACTTCTCTTGCTGTAAGTATTCATGCACTGTGCTATAAGAATTAATGTATTTGATTGTGGTGTGCTACCCTAGGCTCCGCTGGGGAGTGTTACACATAGTATATACTGATTACCTTTTGAAACTCTGAAAAACAGAATTCTGAAATACTTTTGGTCCCAATGATTTTACATATAAGATTGTGAACTTTTATTATAGGTTAAGGATCACCAAAGTATGGCCCAGAGGGCCAAAGTTGACCTGTAGTCTGTTTTTGGTAAGGCCCAAAAGAATACAGGTTGAACATCTCTAATCTGAAAATTCCAAATGCTCCAAAACCCAAAACTTTTGAGTGCCAACAGGATATTTAAAGAAAATGCTTGCTGGAGCATTCTGGATTTCAAATTTTGGATTTTCAGATTAGGCATGCTCAACCAGTTAAAAAAAATGAGAGAGAGACAGAGAGAGAGAGAGAGAGAGAGAGAGAGAGAGAGAGAGAGAGAGAGAGAAAAGTATTTCAAAATTAAAAAAAATCCAAAATCCAAAACAATTCTGGTCTCAAGCATTTTTGATAAAGGAAACTCAACCTCTAACTGTTACATTTTTCAAGGGTTGTGAAATCAAAGACTATATGGCAGAGACCTTATGTGATCAGCAAAGCCTAAAATAATTTCTCACTGTCCCTTTACAGAAAAGAGTTTGCCAACTTCTATTACATATAACTGACGTTAGCTCTGAAAGATGGTATTTCACAGTCATGACTGAAGTGTAAACAGATTCTCTGGGATAACCTGGAAATCTAATCACCATTTATAAACTTTCCATGGAGAATGTGGAAATGTAGGGACTCAAGGAAATTTACAGTATCCATCTTTAGCAATGACAAGTCAGCCAGTGAAGGACATTTAGCATCATAAATGTGCTACTTTGGCTAAGGACTTTTTAGTATTTGGCTGTCTCTTCATGGGAAAGAGAAATTTGCAGTTAAAGGAACAATTCTTTTCTTTCTTTCTTTCTTTTTTTTTTTTTTTTACTACCATTACCTTGATCTCGAGGAACAATTCTTCCTCTTAAATACGAATCCTATTTTGCCCCCTAAATGAGCTATCCATTGGTTTAGTTCATTAGGTGGATATTACAAACTCAGAAACTCAGAGACAGTCTGAATTTCTTTGCTTTTTCCTTTATACTTTTGTACATTGTTCTACTTAGGACTTAAACAAAAACAAACCACATTCCTATAAGGATGATATTGAGGCTCCAGTGCTTATTCTGAAGTACAATTTGTAGGCACAGCCATTTTCTCCTAAGACTGGCTGACAATTGCCCACCAGAGCCCAGAGTTAGAGGTTTTCAAATAGAATGTTTCTTTCTAGTTTGCTGGGAGGAAATACTGGTAAGTGAAAGAATAAGAACAGAGTTCCTTTTGCATTATATGTGGGTGATGCAGGTACAAGTGTCCAACTGAAGAAATACCCTACCACAACATCAGTAGGTGATTCACCCACCTCAGCCTCCCAAAGTTCTGGGATTACAGGCATGAGCCACCTTGTCCAGCCATTAATTTATTTATTATAATTCTTAAAAATCTATGGGATAAACACAGAGATATAAAGTGGGGGAAAAAAAAAAACCCAGTAATTAAGATGGACTATTGGCAGGGTGACTATAGATCCCAGTTTGCTCAGGATCATCCCTAACAGGACCCTTCCTATTATCCCAGAATAATCACTAATAGTATTTTTCACTCTTAGAAGTGTTCTGATTTAGACAACAAATTATAATGGTCACCTTGTTTATAAAACTATCCAGGTTATCCTTTCGAAAATCTGCAGGAAATAGGGTATAATTCAGAGTTCTACTCTGTTTTCTTCTGCATCAATAGTAAATGTCACTAGTCAGAGGGCCAATATAAAATGAGAAATTAAGCTTCACAAGCTTTTGCAATTTATAGCACTGTACATATCCAGTTGCAACTACTAAATAATAAAGGAAACTAGGATATTAGGGCAAAAAATCCTATGCTAGCTTAGGAATCTAGAACCAAGTCTGAGAGGCATACTATGGCGACAGTCAATTAGAATGTGAGTGGGTGACTCAGGGCAGATCTGGAACAGACTAAACTCCTGGAACCCTTAAATACTTTCTCCACTGGCATTATCAACTCTACACATTCTGATTATATCGGGGGAAAAAAAATCAGATGCTACCACAGCCTAGGTCACAAAACATGGAAAAACAACTCCCAAACAAAAGACAGTACATCATAATCTTGCCAATAAAAGTCTGCCTACGGTATCCCACAAGTGTTTCAACAATGTCCTAAAAATAAAAGGGCAGCTTTTTCTTTGCCTATTCTTTTGAAAGACTTTCTGCTCAAAAGCCTTTAATGGCTGCTTAAAAAAAATTCTGGTTAAACAGGCACTATTCTAGATGAAATATATTCCAATGGATTTTAATTTTTTAAATCATCATTTTCGCTTACTAAGTCTCTGTAAGAATCCTAAGTATAAAAAAAGGCCCAAACATATACCTCAACAAAATACTCTAGTGACCAACTGCTAATCACACTACAGAAATTGAATGAAGTATTTAACATTTGGCTTTGCTAATTTGGATTCATTAAGATTGTGATAGTACCTTCTTCAGGCCCAGTTTAGATATAATTCATTTCTTTCCTTTTTTTTTTTTTTTTTAAATTCCTACCTTCTAGACTATATAGGATAGAGTACTTTAAAGGTAGCTTTTCTTTTTAAGTTTTCAGGGTTTTACAATCATGCTATATTTTGTTTAGATGATTCAGGACTAAGGACCCAAGAAATTAAAGATCCTTTCAAAACATTGTCAACTTCTAAGTACAGTGATTTCTGTATGCTGCAGGTCTCGTGTTAGGATATTATATATTACAGGCTTTTGTAAATTTATAGTAACTTTCCTCAGGTTACTACCATAAATTTGTATTGTTTATTAAGTGTTCAATAATACATATATTTTTTACTATGGCAATTAAGTGTCCACTATACATTAGACACCGTACAAAACCTTTACCCCTAGAGACCAGGGGGTCTCAACCAGAGGCAAGTCTGCCCCTCAAAGAACATTTGGCAATACCTGGAGGCATGTTTGGCTGTCAAAGCAGGATGCATACTTTTTAGATCTAAGGGGTAGAGGTCAGGGATGCTGCTAAATATCCTGTAATGCATGAGCCAGCCCCTCACAATCAACAACTATCTGGCCCCAAAAGCCAATAATGTCACTTTGAGAAATCCAAACCGTAGACTTCTGTAACTTGTGTTTCTAAGGCACTGGCAAAAGTAGCTGTTTTTAAAACTTCTTATACAAGTCTGGTATTTTCAAAGCTGAAAAGCACAGCTTTGTATAAGAAGGAAAAAGAAAAAGGAAGTCTTTTTGACAAACAGTTTAAACAGTATTATTTAAACTGGGGATTGAGTCATAAGAATAATATATATAAAATGTTATTTCCCCTATGCTATATGAAAGAAATATTAACAATTCCAGAATAAAATAATCATACCTTTTTAACTGCTATAATATATCCTTCTTCTTGAAACATTTTGAAAAATTCACACATGAATGTCTCTTTGAAACTTGACTAAGAAAGAACAAACACAGGGTTTACATGTGTTAAATAGAGAATTAAGAATAGAATGAAATGTATTTTTAAGCTGAGGATTAAGGCCTAAAAGGACTCAATTATATACTTCCAGAGAGATACAGGGCTTGGAGTGGAAGACTTCTTTCAAAGCTGTCATGCGATTACGGCACAGGCAGGCAGGCAGACAGATTGTCCTGCACCTCCTCACTAGGCTCTCCCTATTTCAGATTTAGCAGTTTACATGTAACTATCCAGTTTTTCTTTTTTTAAATGTTCTCATTATACCGATTTTTAAAAAAATTTTCTAGAGACAGAGTCTTGCTGTGTTGCTGGGACTAGAGTGCAGTGGCTATTCTCAGGTGACATCATCGTGCACTACAGCCTTGAACTCCTGGCCTCAAGTGATCTTCCTGCTTCAGCTTCTTGGGATTAAAGACACAAGTCACCATGCCCAGCGTCTGAAACTGTCCTCCTTAACAGGTGACTAAAAGAGCATCTACTTAAAAGAATTGTGTCTGTATGTGTGTATTTTGTTTTGTTTTGTTTTTAATTTGGAAGAAGGTAAGTCAAGGAGAAAGGATCATAGGATGTAACAACATTTAGAAATGTGAAACAATAAAAGATATAAAGACTTACCTTGCTTTTGGATAGACTCCCCCAGGTTCCCAAAGTCTGAATAGTTTTTGAGATGAGAGTTAATGTTCTAATTGTCTGTGCATCCTAAAGAATGTAAAAAAAGACCAAAACTACTATTAAGTTTTCAAGAAAATAATTTGTATAAAAAAGTAGAATAAATGGACTACATTGCTGTAAAACAATGGCTCAAAAACGTTCAAACCACACACAGCTAAAATCTAGCTAAGGCTGGGTACAACTCACTGGACTAAGGAATTAAGAGACTAAAGAAGCCATATATACTAGACAATTCTTCCCAAAGCAATTAATGAAGATGTTGTGCTTTTAAAAGCCACAATTTTTTGTTTCTTTTGTGAGACAGAGTCTTGCTCTGTTGCCCAGGCTGGAGGGCAGTGGTGTGATCTCGACTCACTGCAACCTCCACAACCTGGATTCAAGCAATTCTGTCTCAGCCCCCAGAGTAGCTGGGATTATAAGTGCCTGCCACCACGCCTGGCTAATTTTGGTATTTTTAGTAGAGACAGGGTTTCGCCATGTTGGCCAGGCTGGTCTCAAACTCCTGACCTCAGATGATCAGCCCGCCTCAGCCTCCCAAAGTGCTGAGATTACAGACATGAGCTACTGCACCTGGCCAAAACCCATAATTTTATCAATATTATATATAAGTTGTTTTGTACGGTATGCACCTTGGATTACCTGACAAATTATATTCACTTCTGGAATGTCAAAGGCATCTACTTTACTACCTTATAACTTCAAATGGCAGTTTTAGGTGTTCCAAATTTTCTGTGCTCAGCTCACCTCTAAACATATTCAATTTAAATGGCTTCTGCAATTAACCCTTTTCACCATGGACAAAAAGATCTAAATTCAGCTTAGGAAATGTGAAGTCACCTAGTTTGTTCTGGATCTTACCAGAGGGTGACTATTTGGGTCTATTATCCAAGATGTTTTTCAGGCCTATCTATCTGAAAGAAGTAATATATAAGAGCATATAAAATTGACTAAATGGTGTTCCCTCAGGAATCTTTGTTCCTTCATTTTTTTTAAAATTGAGATATAATTTACATAGACAAAATGAACATATCTTAAATGCTTAAATACCTGCTGAATTTTCACCAATCCATACATTTGTATGAAGTTTCTATCAAAACACAGACCATTTTTATTTGTTGTAAGGATTCAAGTAAGCAGTATCTTGTATCTAAAGATATACCCAGAAAAATTTAGAACCAGAAAAGCTTTAGTTTAATTTTTGGCTCACATTCCTTAATATTTTAGTATCCCGCCCCCTCCATTGAAAACAGGCAATGAATGTGAAGGGGAAGAGAAAACCAGAATATAAGGCAATCTGGAAAAGAAGGGATGTTTGGGATATGATCATTATGATACACTTATGAAATAGATACACACCTAAATTAAAGTTATTCAGAAAATAAAAAGGTCCCTACAATTCTCTGCCTTTGAAGAAAATAACATTCTTAAAGATGTCCTGGCACCTGCACTCATGTTTCTTGCAGCATTATTTAAAATAACAAAGCCACGGAACCAACCTAAGTATCCACCAACATCTGTTACAGGAATATACAAATTCAAGTATGAATACAAGGCAGACTCACAAGTTCAGAAGTAGGAGTTCTGTTTATGTCCAGAATGTTGCTACCACGCTTTCATTGCCTCAGAGTTCTATGCAGCTTTAGTAACAAAGCCACAGAATGGACAGCCCTGTGAACAAAAGGACACTGGCCCACTCTCTGCTGGGGCTACTCACAGACCATTTATTCTTTGGCAAGAAAGGGCGTGGTGCTGCCACTGCAACATGGTTCTATTCAGTTCTCACAAAGTTGAGTGAGCATCAATGCCATGCAGTCGTTGAGAGCAGAAATGGGTACTCAGAATCTGGTTTAACTCTAAAACTCATGTGTTTTCCCTACATTATTTAATGAGCAATTCCTCTTGACTGTGAGTTTCCTAAGGGCAAAGAGTATCTTATTCATCACTGCATCTCCAGTACTGAGCATGAAACGATACATTATAGGTACTTGAACATATGTTGGCCTAAGAGGTTGGAAGGGATAGGATTAAGCTCACAGCTGATAAAGACTGACTGAATTTGAATTCTAGTTTAATCCAGCTCAAATTGAGTAAGATCAAATCATAATTTGTCAGTTGTGTGAGCTTGGAAAAGTTACTGTATTGTGATTTCCTTATCTGCAAATGTGGATGATAACAGAATTTACCTCATAGGATTGCTAGGAGACCAAATAAGTTAAAACAAAGTAGTTAGAACAAAGCCTAATACAAAGCACTAAATAAATGTGGGCTATTATTATTATTTATTTTACCAACCAGCAACTAAAAGCAATTAGATATGATTATAAAGTATTTGGAACATAAAAGCTTAAATAATCAGCCAAAATAAGCCACATAAGAAGGAATCAGAAGTATAGCAAAAATAATAAAGAATTTTAAAAACAAACATGTAAATCTATGCAGTGGAGATTTACATTTTTAATAATTAAATAGGACTCCAGAACAAAGATTATATGCTTAAAATTTTTTTTTTTTTTTTTGAGACAGAGTTTCGCTCTTGTTACCCAGGCTGGAGTGCAATGGCGCAATCTCGGCTGACTGCAACCTCTGTCTCCTGGGTTCAAGCAATTCTCCTGCCTCAGCCTTCCGAGTAGCTGGGACTACAGGCGTGCACCACCATGCCCAGCTAATTTTTATATTTTTAGTAGAGACGGGGTTTCACCATGTTGACCAGGATGGTCTCGATCTCTTGACCTTGTGATCCACCCGTCTCGGCCTCCCAAAGTGCTGGGATTACAGGTGTGAGCCACCGCGCCCGGCCAAAAATTTTCAAATCTCCTATGTTTACAGTATTGTCTCAGGTGAATAAAAAGTAAAAATATCAATATATTTAACAAGTTATGTTCCAATAAAATTTCCTACATCTTTCACTATACTGCATTCCTGGTTTCTTTTTCTGTTTTTACTGTTAATGCTTATCCAGTGCACCTGCTATTTAATATTTTTCAAATTATATGCTGTCAGTTTCATTGCCACTATTCTATCTTAGATGCTGTTTCTAAATTAAATGAAATTTCTCTTGTAGATGTCTATCTTAGAGAAAAGAGCCTCTTCAAATTTCTGTGAAATTTAAAAATATCTGCCAAATTAAACTATTTTAATAAATCAGGAAAGCAGATTTTATTTGAATAAAAAACCTATCAAAATGAAACCTGTAACTAATGAAAAAAAAATCTTACGGAAATTTACAAACACACACAGTCGCAGATGGAAAAATATAATAAATCACCTTTGTACTCATCAAAACTTCAGTAGTTAACAACCTTTTATCACTCTTGTATAACATCTTTTAACAAAAAAAAATAGATTAGCCTCTCTTGAAAGACTGAAATGGCCAAGAAAAATGCTTAGTACATTTAAGTATCAGTTATAAGAAAATGCAGCCCAGTGAAATTGGTTTATTTTATCTTTTCTTCATTTTAACAAAAATTTGAAAAATGGAATAAAGCTTTCAGAAGAACAAACACTTACTGGATGATGAGGTCGCAAATGAAAAGTATGAGGTGATACTACGGCTACAGCAAAGAAACGAAGAAATACAAAGCTGCTCACTGCAGAATACTGAACATGAGGGTCATCTGCAGGAAAAAAATGGTGAAATGTCATGCACAAAAACACTTAATTAAAAAACAAAGATGATAAAAAAATATAGAAAAGACATGTAAACTAGGAGAGCAACATAATTTGTCTAGTAAGTACTGAGGTGATGAAATGATCATGAGGTTTATGACTAAATTAAAAGAAAAAAACACTATGATTAAAAAAATCCAAAAGAAATAAGGAATAATATGAAAAAAGGCAAAGCTGCTAGTTTTTCAGAAATAATTTAATCTGAAAAAATACCTCTTTCCTTATCTGCAAGAAGAGATTGCTGAAATTACAACAAAAATAAAAGTGTATCTAGCACTACCTAGTGGTAACAATGAATCATCCCTTAAGAGTAGGATACAGGCTGCTTTCAGTCTTAGGTTCTTGTTTCAATTCCCACGCCCTCTCCCCTACTGCCCCCTAAATCTTAATTTCAAAGGTTATGCAACAAAAATAATTAGGCAGAAATAATTACTTTAAAAAAGCTATCAATAGTCCATAAATAAAAATGCAGATGAAATGAAGACTACTTGTGGCTTTGATCATTCACCTACAACTTTCGTTTTGGACTGGAGTCAACTTTACCCAACAATCAGACAGATGGTGGTGAAACAGGTGGTGAGGGAAAGAATCTTTGGGTTTGTTGTGAGTTTTAACTCTTCTAAGTCATTCAGTAGGTGACCATCAACAAGTTGTTTAATTTGTCATCCTTTAATAATATCTGTTTTCTACGTGCTGTCTGCCCTGCCCTCTTACCTCTCCTTTCCCCAGTCTTCTAAGGTAGTAAGAACGACAAAAACAAGAGAATATGAAACACTTATGGCAACAAAACTGTCACTACTATAGTCTAGTGAGGATATGAAGACCATGTTAAGTTCACAAAAACATAACTAAGGAGATACATCTACATGTATCTAATAACATAAAGTGTTTAAGATCATTTATACAAACAAGAATTAAACAGCTAAAGCAGATTTAAGGCCAAGATCACCAGTTAGTGTAGAGTACAGTGAATGGCAGCATGTACTTTGGAGTAGACCAGGCCCAGGTTTGAGGCCCTGCTGGCCTGTGGCCATGTCATAGACCTTGGTAAAGTTACTCAGCTTCTCTAAACCTTAGTTTCACACCTAATGGAAGTAGTCCCTATCTCATGTGGTTTTGTGAACATGAGAATAGGAGATAATGCAGGCTAATACTGTGTGTATTACTAAGTAGTCAATATGGTTATCATGACCTAACTATTCAAAAATATAATTTCAATGAGCATTTCACCTTTCTGTGTATCTCTGGTTCCCCTTATTTTTGTTATGAAGATTAGATTTAGTCTTATTTGCAACTATAGTTAGTAAAGACATTTAGATTTGAATTTATCTAGATGTTAGTCAGATAACTCAGCTCCACTAATTTGGTAATGGGTCAATTTAGCAAAAGGGCAGTTAACTGTACATATGTGTGCACAGGGTGAGCACAAGCTTAAAAAAGCATGAAAAAGCTACAAGATCTCTTCAGATGGTTACAGAAATAAACTCACAGTTTTGCACAGCTGGTTAAGACTAATAATTTAAGTATCTGCCTAATCTTACCCTCCTACCCACTACCTCCCCCATTATAGATAGATCTGGAAAGCTAGCTATACCAAGTTTGTTTACTTTTCTGAGATATATTAAAATGTGAATAATTGTAAGTATTAACAGGGACAGTAACTCTTAATTTTATGAAATGTTTCTAAGCAAAACCTTGACATAGCTACTTCTTCAAAATTAAAAATGCCAGTTACTGATACATGTATCTCAAAATGCTACATATGTTGCAACAGAAAGGTTTCTAATATCTAAGATCATTTCTGTAAAAATCTCTCACCACCAATACCTTATTAGCATTCTCAAACTGACAAATCTAGTTAATTTTATGGAACAAAATAGTCTCACTATCTGAATGCATGCAGCTGGAAAAGATAGTTGGCATAAATACCAAAGGTTATTTTTATTTTTAACTCTCATAAGCATCGGATATAAATGCTTATTTATATAATGTTACAGTTCTACATTTTTGTCTTTCTTAAATCTAATGGTGATTTTGTTTTGTTCTTTGTATAACGTTGTATTATACTGAAATAAAATGAAATATGTATTTTTGAGATTTCAAGAAAAATAAATCCGATTTCTTATGAGAAAGCTAGAACCATTTTGAAAAACTGAAGATTGTACTTAAAAACCTGAAATATCTCACACAAACCAAATATGTAATTAATATCTAAAAAAAGGCAAAGAAAAAGAAATGGCATGTTTTAGTAAAAGAAGGCACTTACTGGGAAATCTCTGAGTAGCCATCTGCCTCAGAGAATAAAAGATATCACACATTAGAGTGGGGCAGCTCATACTTGATTTTACAATTGTATTGAATAACTTGTCTACGTAGTAGCGCAGATTTTCCTGCAGGATTTAAAAAGGTAAACATTAAGATTTTGATGTTCACACATCTTTAATAGCCTTCATGAAAGAAAAATGTAATGAAGATGAGATTTATTAGATAGTCACTACCTAATACTTTTTAAAGCATTGTTTCCCTTTTCCAAACTCATTCAGTTAAAGAACAACGTGTATACTGACTTAATAAATTAAATTTAGATTTGCTACGCCTAAGAGGTCAATCTATGAATGAACCTCACAAGAAGCAACAGGGAATAAAATGATCCAAAAGGGAAAACAAAACAAAACAAAAAAACCTCAGCTACACAAGCACAAGGACATTGTTGACACTATTATCCACTGCAATAAAAATTTGTGACCCTAACACAATCACTGTTTTTTCAGAGGCCACTGAAACTACTGACTGATCAAGTCAGTGTGTCACTTAGGCTGATCAGTTTGAGCCCAAAGGAATGGCCAGAATAGGGACTGCAACTGTAGCTATAGCTTCCATTCACTATTGTTACTAAAGAGACAAGAACAAAAATAAAGTGAAACTACTGAGGAAATAACACTCTAAAAGCTAATCCTAGAAAATGCTGCTAATAGTAAAGGCTTATGTAAAGAATAAACAGCATTGCTTCCCCCCATATGGCTTTATTTTAACATAAGTGGGAGAAGTGTACACCACTAAGACCAATTTTAATGCAATATAAATATTAACATAGCAAGGACTTACCTTATTATTTTCTACATTATCTCCCTCTTTCAATTTAATAGGATCGATTTCACAGGATTTTGAGGAGTCACATATCTGAAAAATAATTTTTTCAGTTAATTTTCTTTTCTAAGTAACCTGACAAATGAAAAGAACTATTATTTTTCTGATAATAAAAGTTAATTATAGAAATTTAAGTTGTAACAAAGTGTAAAACCTCCTATCCAGGGATAACACATAAATTTTCTAAAATGCTATATCAAAAAGTATGTGTCATATATTTGAAACTCTAGCTAAAATAGAAATCCCATAACAAAGAAATAATGTTTTTATACTATACTGTACCCTTTAGGTAAAAATCCATTGACAAAGAAGTAAATAACGTGCTTCTGAAGTGTGCAGCCTTATTTTTTCAGTAACACATGACTGAATGAATCCTTCCCAATGAATACATCACTTGATAAAACAGCCACTATCATAAGGCCACAAACTCATTGTTGGAAATAAATTCTGTACCTCATCTAGAATAGGTTTTAATGTTACTTTCAGGTAGTGCCCTCCCACTATTTTCATCATCTCATCCAGACATCGGGTAGCCAAGGAATTTCCTCTAAAAATTGTGTTTGCGTCTCTGAAATAGAAAGAGATGAAACCAAGTGTAGTAAACAAAGGTTGTGAAACCAATAATATAACATACTTGACCAATTTAAGAAAGAAGCATTTAGTTGAAATCGGTAAGACATACTAGAAGGCATAATTTTAATAATTTTACCTACAATTTTAATAATTTTTACCATTTACTTAAAAGCTTGCTGCCATTAGGTTTTTCAAAGTTAACAAAAATATATTAAAATAATGGTCAGGTGTGCTGGCTCATGCCTGTAATCCAGCACTTTGGGGGTGCTAATCAAGTGGATCACTTGGGGAAGTCAGGAGTTTGAGACTAGCCTGGCCAACATGGTAAAACCCCATTTCTACTAAAAATACAAAAATGAGCTGGGCGTGGTGGCGGTAATCTCAACTACTCAGGAGGCTGAGGCAGAAGAATCTCTTGAACCCAGGAGGCAGAGGCTGCAGTGAGCCAAGATCACACTACTGTACTCCAGCCTGGGTGAAAGAGCGAGACTCCATCTTAAAAACAAACAAACAACGAACCCAATACACACCCACACGTTTTTTTTTTTTTTTTTGAGTTGGAGTTTCGCTCGTTACCCAGGCTGGAGTGCAATGGTGCGATCGCAAGCTCCGCCTCCCGGGTTCAGGCAATTCTCTTGCCTCAGCCTCCTGAGTATCTGGGATTACAGGCACGTGCCACCATGCCCAGCTAATTTTTTGTATTTTTAGTAGAGGCGGGGTTTCACCATGTTGACCGGGATGGTCTCGATCTCTTGACCTCGTGATCCACCAGCCTTGGCCTCCCAAAGTGCTGGGATTACAGGCGTGAGCCACCGCGCCCGGCCCACACACGTTTTTTTTAAACAAGGCAAATCATATTTATGAACCAAAAATGTGGAGTACATGTATGTCTGTGTGTGTAAAAAAAAACAACCATGTTAGACTCTGATGTGAACAAGAAGTCACTTGATTGCTGTTTAGAATGTCATATATATGCATGTAAGGGTGATACATAATGAATAAAGAAAAAAACACTTCTGCTCTGGTGTTTTTACTTGTGACACATGAATCATTACACTAAGAAACAGATTAGTAACATATAAAATTTCCTCCTGAGTTAAAGAAAAACATCCTTCATTAATTGTCCTTAGGTAGGTGAATATCGTTTAATAGCTTAACTGCCTTTTATTTGCTAAGTACTTTTCAGCTTACTCTACAGTAAGGCTGATCAATACAAAAAAACTCAGACTACCAAAACAATCGGTCAAACTAATTTCAAGAACATGTAATTAACATTTAATAAAATATAGCTCTTACTGTGTATCCTTCAAGTCTAATTCAGCCACAGCAGTGGCAAAAGGAACAAGTTTATCATGGTGCAGCAGCAGTCGTACAAGGGGCAAAACAGCATCATTTTTATCTCGACATATTTCACTCAAAATGTAAGCAGCTGAGGCAGATATTGGCTAAATATAGGAAGGCAGAAAACAAGCACAAAAATCAAAGAAACATTATTAACTATTCAATCACTAGCCTGTAAAAGTATCTGAAATAATGAGACTAAAGTTGTGGTACAGGGTAATTTTCTAAATTTTTTATCAGAGATGACTGTTGGGGCATACGTTGGAATCACAGTACTCTGGTTCAGATAAATAGAAATGTGTGTGTGTATATATATATATATATGTATATATATAATTTTTACTGTTTTAATAAAACTTGATATTCTGAAATCTTTTCCTTATCATTTATAGAATTATTTTAGCCATTTTGTGTTAAATCATATCCTTAAGATTCTTAACATACTTGAACATCTGGTGATTTTAGCAGCAAAGTTTTCAAAGGACCATAGTACTCTGAAGGAAGCACGCAGTCTTCTGTATAACATATATTTAATCGAAGAGACCCCAGGTCATCAGTTTTGGATGACTTGTTTCCATTGTCTCTTGGTTGTAGCAAGTACCTAAAGTAAAAATATAAGTGATTCCATGTGATGGAAATGCATTCAAGCCAATGAGGCAAGTTGAGTTAAGCTACAAAAAAAACTAATCCAAAAAAGTCAACTTAGTATTTATGGTTAGGAAACTTCATAAGTAGCAGGTTACTAATCTTCAGAGGCCTAATATTAGTTATATATTGGATTAGAAAGCTTTCAGTACATTTTTATTCAGGAAACAAAAAGCATACATAATGCAGAAATTAAAATCTCAAATGAGCTGAGTAAGAGTTTGATTAGCTTGCAGGTTTAGAAAAAAATGATAATAAAAGGTAAAACATTTAAAATCCAATGTATTATCAAAAATACATTTTTACCAACTAAATTTAAGAAAGAAGCATTTAGTTGAAGATAGAAAAGACAGACCAGATTCAGTGGCTCATGTCTGTAATCCCAGCATTTGGGAGGCTGAGGTAGGCTGATCACTTGGGGTCAGGAGTTTGAGACCAGCCTGGCCAACATGGTGAAACCCTGTCTCTACCAAAAATACAAAAATTAGCCAGGCAAGGTGGCAGGTGCCTGTAATCCAGCTACTTGGGAGGCTGAGGCAGGAGAATCACTTGAACCCAGGAGGCGGAGGTTGTGGTGAGCCAAGATCCTGCCACTGTACTCCAGTCTGGGTGACAGAGTGAGGCTGTCTCAAAAAAAATAAAAAAAAAAAAAAAAAAAAAAGGTAAGGTCTATCAGAATGCATAAGTAATCTTGTTTTAAAGTAAATTCTTTATCCAAAAATTTAAACTTAAGTTTGCAGGACCAAAACCAGAAATCTAAGAGTTAAAAAACAAACAAACAAACAAACAACAACAACAAAAAACCCCAAACTTTTTATCATGGGAATTTAAAAACACAAACAAAAGAGGAGAATATTGAGCTCTCTCACATACCCATTACCTAGCTTAAACAATTATCAACTGAAGACTAATCTTGTTCACAGTCATAAAAAGAACAAAACCGGCTGGGTGTGGTGGCTCATGCCTATAATCCCAGCACTTTGGGAGGCCGAGGTAGGTAGATCACAAGGACAAGAGATTAGGACCATCATGGCCAACATGGTGAAACCCTGTCTCTACTAAAAATACAAAAATTAGCTGTGCATGGTGGCATGCACCTGCAGTCCTAGCTATTCAGGAGGCTGAGGCAAGAGAATCGCTTGAACCTGGGAGGCAGGGGTTACAGTGAGCTGAGATTGCACTACTGTGCTCCTGCCTGGTGACAGAGCGAGACTCAGTCTCAAAAAAAAAAAAAAATAAAAGAACAAAATCATGTCCTTTGTGCCAACATGGATGCAGCTGGAGGCTATTACCCTATGTGAATTAATGCAGAAAAAGAAAACTAAATACCGTGTGTTCTCACTTGTAAGTGGGAGTGACACACTAGGTATGTATGAACACAAAGATGGGAACAATAGACACTGAGGGTTCCAAACATGGGGAGGGAGACAGGAGAATGGAGTTGAAAAACTATCGGATACTTTGTTCACCACTTGGGTGAAAGGATAATAAGCCTAAACCTCAGCATTATACAATATACCCATGTAACAAACCCGCACATGTACCCCTGAATCTAAAATTAAAAAACAAAACAAAACTAGATGAAGGCTGATAAAAATTGTGAAGTACCAATGACAATCAAGAATTCTTACTTCCTTTTTTTGGAGGGTACTCAGCAATATGCTTGCCTAAATTTGAAATTTACGATTTGTTGTTAGTGTAAATATCTTTTTTTTTCTAGACTCTATCAGGTTTAGAGAAACGCAATTTCTACTCTTATAGTAGCCTAAGTTTGCAAGCAAACACAATTGAACTCAACTAATTTGGACATTAAAAATTCAGAATTGCTTGGCCTTAGCCAAAATACATATTTCTAGGACTGGAAAAAAAAAAGTTTGCTAATCATTCAAGATATCACAGGAGTTACAGGAGTTAAAAAATTGTTTAAACTCTTAAAAAATTATTTCTCTAAAATAATACGCCAATTACAAATAATTCATCCCCTTTATTCCATTAAAGCAAAATATCTAAAAACCTCTAGGGAAAAAACCTAACTGTATTCTTATTCTTCAATAATTCATTGTTTTAAAAAGTTATGCCCTTGCACTGCATATAAAATAGTGAATCTTTGCTTTACTTAACTATAACCAGAAACTAAACTGCAGAAAAACTGTACTATATATGTCTTTTATGAGTACATGCTAAAACAAAATTATTTTAAAAGTTACTATGTACAGCCAGATGCTCAATAGTAATACTAATAACATCCTTATTTGGACACTGAAACTAGCATAATTTTAAATTACGCTGCAGAAACTATCACAATTAGAATATATTAAGGGAATTTACTTATAAATATTTACCTGCATATATTTTTTTCCTGTGGCATATCATTGTATTGCCCACAAAGTGTATTTTCAGAAATAACCCCAAATTAAATTTACAAAATTGGACTTGCCAATTAACAAACACTGTAGGGTGGACAAAAGCAACTGAATGAAGATTATTTTTGTAGCAAAGCTCAAACTTCAAGAACCAAGAAAGAGCCTGTGTGGACTACCACTTATTATTTTCATTACTCTTTGAACCAGAATCTTCTTTATTTAAAATTTAAAAATTCTTATTACATATAGACAAATAGGTAATAATGCATACATATATAAACAATGTCATCAAATCAGTGTTTTTGTTTTTTTAAGGAACTTTAAAGTTCTTTTCTTTTTTAACTTTGGTTTTCTCTTATCTTCAAAACATTATCATTCTGCACCTCCGCTTCTCTTAGGAACCTGTTAACTACCTACTGTGGACCCTTCTCTATTTTCTTCAGGCTTATATAATTTTATACAGATTTTTATAAATGTGTGCATATATACACATTTATAAATGAGTTCTAAGCCTATTAGTTGTTTACAAAAATGTTATATTCTACTTTCCTGCATCTTGTTGTTTTTTTTTACCTGTAAGCACTTCAGCACTTTTTTTTTTGAGACAGAATCTTACTCTGTCACCCAGGCTGGAGTGCAGTGGCAAGATCTTGGCTCACTACAACCTCCACTTTCTGAGTTCAAGCAATTCTCCTGCCTCAGCCTCTCGAGTAGCTGGGATTACAAGCTTGTGCCACCCTGACCAGCTAATTTTTTTGTATTTTTAGTGGAGGTGAGGTTTCACCATATTGGTCAGGCTGGTCTTGAATTCCTGACCTTGTGATCTGCCTGCCTCAGCCTCCCAAAGTGATGAGATTACAGGCGTGAGCCACCGTGCCCCGCCCACCTGCAAGCACTTTCTAGTTAACTCTTTGAGACTACATAATTGTACTGTTTTGTGAAGTGGCTTAATAGGCCATAAGTAACTTAAAAATAATTGTGTTCAGAAAACAATAAACAACAAACATTAAAATTTTGAATTTAATTTTAACACTCCTTACTAAGAGACTGGGGAAAATTATTTATTTGCTTCTAGGAAATTCTCTCAGTCCTGTTACCCAAGTTCTGCTAAAATGCTTTTGTAGATTTTCTTTGTCATTCTTCTCTCAGAATAATCTGCACTGACACTTCTTTTATTATTTGCAGAAAACCCTCAACCACTGTTTATACAATTGTTCAACATTTGTACTATGCACAGCAAATTTTATAGCACTGGTTACGTATACTGAGGAAGAGTTTGTCTTTCCATTTTCATCTTGCTACTGCTCTATTCTGTTCCTCTCTTACTCACTGCCTCTATGGTATATACTTGCTACAGTAAAGGAAGAGACTCTCTCCTTTGGTATCATGTCACAATTGTGACACAAATTTCATTTTCTTATATTTTGTGAATACACATAAAATATATTAAGAATACATTTTAGTTTGAAAAATACATTTAAAAAGTTTTAAAATACATTAAAATGCATTTTAAATACTGTCAACTTTTCTCCTATACTGTTTGACAAATAAGTTATATATTTTATCTAGGAATACAGACTGTTAGGACTGTTTTTTTTATTTTTTTGAGATGGAGTTTCACTCTGTCACCCAGGCTGGAGTGCAATGGCGTGGTCTTCGCTCAGTACAGCCTTGGCCTCCTGGGTTCAAGTGGTTCTCCCACCTCAGCCTCCTGAGTAGTTGAGACTACAGGCGCATGCCACCACACCCAGCTAATTTTCATGTTTTTAGTAGAGACGGGGTTTCACTATGTTGGCCAGGCTGGTTTCAAACTCCTGACCTCGTGATCCACTTGCCTTGGCCTCCCAAAGAGCTGGGATTACAGGCATGAGCCAACATGCCCAGCCTGGAATTATTTATCTTTACTCATAGTTTCCAAGTTTTATAAATCCTGAGCTGGGGCCTTTCTAAAGCTTGAAATTTCAAAGCCCAGTAGTAAAGAAATTCCCTAAAAATACTAAAAGGGATTCACAGGTGCAATATTTTTAAGCAGTTTAAATCATTTTAAGCATTGCTGTTTAAACCCACAATTTTATTTTCAGTAGTTCGGTCAGCATAGGGCATATGGGCGTAGTAGTAGACATTCCATGGATGTTGACTAGGGAGTGAGTGAATGAATGCTTTGGTTTTGAAGCCTTGGGTCACTTTTTAAAAGCAATTAGAAAGAAGTTTCTAATTAACATGTGAAAAAAGCTGCCATCTTCTCTATTTTCTATCTAAAGGCAATGACAAACAAAATTTAAAAATACATACACTGAATTTTTTAAAAAAGATTATTCTTGTTTCAGCCATACCTTCACCTACTCTCTGGTCCTGTTCCTGCATTATTATTTTAAAGCAATTTTCAGGTATAATTTCATATATATTTTTAAAAAGTCATCACTATTCACTTATTCAAATTTCCCCAAACTTATCATAAATGGTTTTCTATAGTTTGTTCAAATCCAAATAAGGCACATACATTAGAATTGTTTAACAGCATTCTTAAGTCTCTTTTAATTTATAGATTCCTCACTGTTGGTCCTATAGAGTTTTCCACCTTGGGAATTGTGTT